AACTGCCGTGAAATATTTGAATAAAGATGGCAAAAAATAAAATAAAATAAAATAAAAACATTTCAATGGAGGAAAATATTTAGCCTGTAGGCATTTATTGCCTGCAACAAAAAAGCAGGTATCTTATGTGTTTCATATGCAATAACATAACTCAAGTAAAATGTACTCTACAATCAGAAGTAACACTACAGAACTTTAAATAAGTTTGCAGCTTCAAAATAACAATAGCAAACAGTTACAGGCACAATCCATTCAATTTTCATGACCACTGTATAAGGTAGACACTATTATTAACTCTTCCACAGATGAAAAAAACTAAGGCACAGAAAGATTAAACTTGCCTACTTTCTGTCCTGTCTCATGGAAACTGATGAGCCTCCTCTCCAAGGTACTCTACTTCCTCTCTTCCTGAAGGCATCCCTATCATGTCCTCTGAAAGCTCAGCTCACTCTTGCTTTCAATTCACCCTCTTTAGTCTCTCTTCCCCTTCTATGTATAAACACATTCAAGTTCCCTTCCTAACCTAAACCTGTTAACTCGGTTCTCTCAAATTCCCACACTATTGTCTTCCTTACCTTCAACAAACCTCTGGAAAGAGCGCAAACTCTAATTTTCTTCACCTCCTCAAACCTTATTCGTGATCTTATTCACTGTTCATCATCCTCCCCATCCAAACTTGCAAATTCTTCCACTACTTTCTATCTCAGTTAACTGCAGCACTTCTACCCCAGTCTGCTAAGCTTCAAATTAGAATCATTTAATATTGTTCTCAAAATCTTCTTTTCCTTTTCATTTGGGATACCTGGATGCTCCAAAGTCTGACTTCCTAGCTGTCTACTTTATGCAAGACTTACCTGCCATCTTCCAGGGTAACTGTTCTTATCAAGATTGTATCAGAATCATTTATAAAGTTTTTCAAATGCCTTACATGAACAATCCTACCCTCTCAACAGCCTCCCAAAACAAGCACACGTTCACTTACTTTCTCATGGTCTAGCAAAATCTCTGGGCAAAACATATATATATATATATATATATATATATATATATATATATATATCCCTAGATGATCCTAGTAAGTCACACATAACCTCTCTGCCTTGGAAGATAAAGCTTCAATTTACTCCAAAAATAAAAATGTTGTCCTAGTGTATGAAAAAATATGTACTCTTGGTTCATACATACATACAACTCTCAAGACTTAAAATACCTCCCCCTGCCAAACATAGTAAGAGTGTTCAGGTCCTAAATGAGATGTCAAAAACAAAAGCTAATATTCTGTGGTTGCTTTCCCTCAGTCTTCAGCATGACTCTCCCATTAGCCCTTCAAATCTCTAGCAAAACACCTTCAGTCTCACCATTAAAAGTGAGGGGTCTTTGGGGCACTTGGATGGCTCTGTTGGTTAAGCGTCTGACTTCAGCTCAGGTCACGATCTCACCGCTCATGAGTTCGAGCCCCACGATGGGCTTTGTGCTGCCAGCTCAGAGCCTGGAGCCTGCTTTGGATTCTGTGTCTCCCTCTCTCTCTGCCCCTCCCCTACTCACATGTGTGCACAAACTGTCTCTCTCAAAAATAAATAAACTTAAAAAAAAACTAAAAAAAGAAAAAGTGAGGGGTCTTCCATCTGTATAACAACAATTCAAGGGCAAATGAAAGAAAACTGATGTCAACATTAAATAAAGCCTTTGTCATAATACAATTATATTAGTCATTCACAGTAAAAATATTTTCTAGAAACTTAAATCCAGAAGGCATTTATAGACATTTATGGAGTGATGCCCACAGATAAGGCTGAAACTACCATTCTTGTTGTTTACCTGCAGTTGTTTGGCAGACAAATCTTTTGTTCCTCTGAACACGTAGCTTTTTGAAATGCCCTCACATCCAAGTTCATGAACCTGTACCATTCTCCCAAAAGTAATAAGTCCAACCAAAGCTGTAGGTGGTAAAAGACTCAATGACATCTGCATAGATTCTTTCAGGGCTTGTAAATCTTCATCTTCCATGCAAGTATCAACCACATAGAGGAATATCAAAGGCATCTGAGGACCACGCTTTTAAAAAATGTTGTAATAATTAGGAAATAATGTATTAACAGTCAGCACAATATACAAGGATAATTAGTAGAGGATAAATAATTTACAATACATTCATAAAATGAAATCTTAATAAAATCATTTCAGAAATGAGAGAAGTTATCTATGCATGGAGAGATATATGAGACATATCAAAGGAAAAATTAAGTTTAAAAACATTATTTATAATTACATAAAGGAGACTTTCATCTTTGATCTGTTTAACTGCATAAGGCTTCGTTTCTTATAACAAGTATTTATTTCTCCTAAAATAAGGAAACAGTACTTATAAAGCTTAAAAACAAAACAATAAAGATCTCAACCTGAATTAGACCATAAGAGAACTGGGAACTAGCTAGGCTGCTACTTCCTGGCACATGTGAACTATACTCTGCTTTCTCTACTAGAATCACAGAGGATATCGTTACTTTACAACTTAAATACGTAAACAGCTACGTAAAGCTGTTCAGAAAGGGAAGAAAAATGATTTTCTTAACAAGGACCAATGCAAAAGTAACTTACAGTTAGACTTGGGGATATATCATCAGGTTCTAGCATCATAGTAACTTAACTTTTGTGAACTGACCTTCCAACCACACAGCAACATTGAGAGTGTACTGTTTATTGATCTACTCAGTATAGCAAATCACACCACACCACTCAATATCCTAGCCACCCGTTAAATAAGTACAACAGGGAAATTACCTTGTTCAAATTGAATAGGACAGTTCTTATCTCTGAAATGCTCCATCAATTCAATGTGGGAATCAGGAACAATGCCCTTTAAGTCATCTCAATTTAACAATTCTATTGGTATAAAGTAAATCGCTGAATATTTAAGACTTTCTTAAGGATTTATGTTCTTACCAGAACTACATATTCAATGCTAGAAAACTGAGGTAAGAGCTCCGCAGGCTGATTCAATTCAGATATACCAGCGTAAGTAGGTGGAAACTACAGAGAGAAAACAATGAACATTTTGAATGAATTATTTGCCAGAATGAAATTTTAAACTGCAAATAATTTTCTGATCACTTAACTACTAAAAACTATTTTTCATCATATGAAAAATTATTTCATCTTTGTTTAAAATATGCATTTTTCTACATATTAAGACCAGTACTACAGCATTAACATCTGCATTGGGGGTTTTCTTACCTGATTCCTTTGATAACAAAAGTTGCAAGCCCAGAGTTTTGCTCGGTAATCCACTTGACTGTTTTAAGAAAAGATACAATAGAGCTCATGTTTCAGTTCCATCGTACAATGATCCTAATTTTAATAAAATTAACTTCTTTCTAAAAGAACTCATATTTTTAACTGTATATACAAATGTTCAGTTAAATGAACATATTATTACTTTTAATATATAGCAAACATCAGTAAAAATAATTTTTTTTTCAAATGATTCAGTGATTTCTACACTCAGATCTAGAAAACATTCATTTAATTCAAAAATGTATTTATTCAATGCTTAATATGTACCAGCCATTATCCTAGGTGCTGGTGATACAGCAGTAAACAAGAGATCAAAGGTCCCTGCTATCATGGAGCTTATTCTGGAACAGAAAGACATACAAAAAGAAAGTAGATGTATAAATACAAATGATACTTTCAGACAGTGACAATAACAGACTAAAGATAACAAAGCAGGATGCGAAAATGTGTTTGGGAGGACTACATTATTTATTTTTTAAAGTTTATTTATTTATTTTGAAAGAGAGAAAAGGGAGGGGCAGAGAGAGAGGGAGAGAGAGAATCCCAAGCAGGCTCTGTACTGTCAGCGCAGAGCCCAATGGGGTGGGGTGGGGATCAAACCTAGGAACCATGAGATCATGACCTGAGATGAAATCAAGAGTCAGACACTTGACAGACTGAGACACCACGGCCCCCTGGGATGGCTACTTTAAAAGACGACCTTCTGAAATAAACAATTGAAATTTGATCTAAATGAAAAGGAACAGGTCACAGGAAAATCTAGGGGCAGAGTAATCCAGCAGAATATACAGCTATTATACAAATTCCAAGATAGGCATAAATTTGGTATGTTCACGGATCAGAAAGAGGGTAAGGTATAAGGTAGATAACAATAAGGGAAATGAATGATATAACACAGTGTTTTGTAAGACTTAACTAGCAGTTTGGATTTCTCATTCCAAGTATAATAAGACAAAACTGAAGGATTTTAATAATCTGATATCCATTTGTAACATTCTAGCATCTGGATAGAGAATAAACTACTGAAAGACAAGAATGGAAACAAGGGGGCCAGTTAGGTGGGTAATGAAATTGTCCAGTAAAAAGATGGTGTATCTTAAAGTAGAGCGTACTAGCAGCAACTGAATACAGGAGACAGAATCAGTAATGTTCTGGAGGCAGAATCAATCTGAGTTGCTAACGGATTGGGTGGGGAGACAGAATGGAAAGAGGAATAAAGGAAGATTCTAGATATTCTGGTTTATGCTATAAGAAATTGTAACATTTTCAATTCAAACACCATACCAATCAATTATGACTTTTCTAATGACACGAGATGGGTCTAAAACACACACAGCATCTAGATATACTAGTGATTGGATCTAACAGTTCATATAGTGACAATTTTACATTTGGTCTGTAATCAACTCACTATAACTAGAATATCCTTCAATTTCACAGCTCTTTGGATTTGACTATCCTAATTTGAAAAAATAACTATAAATAAAAAAGACATTTTTATATAAATGAACAAGAAACTACATTTTTAAATCATATTGCCACAGGGGCGCCTGGGTGGCTCAGTCAGTTGAGCGCCCAACTTCGCTCAGGTCATGATCTCGCGGTCCGTGAGTTCGAGCTCCACATCAGGCTCTGTGCTGACAGCTCAGAGCCTGGAGCCTGCTTCAGAATCTGTGCCTCCCTCTCTCTGCCCTTCCCCCACTCATGCTCTGTCTCTCTCTCTCTCTGTCAAAAACAAACTTTAAAAAATAATAATAATAATAAAAATAAATCATATTGCCACATTAATTGTTTCAATATATTTTAATTACCATAAAGGATTCAAAACTGCACGGCAAGTGGTCCTGCTACACAGAACAGGTTCATACTGAATAGGTGGTAAATCAGGTCTCTCCTTCAGTGGTGTAAATAAGGCTGCTACCGGAACAACCATTCTTGTAGCTTCTAGTCGACTTGATGGCCAAACATTCCAGCTAAATCGGACTCCATCTCGTTCTTCATTTTGTTGGATGAATTCCAAATAGGTTGTCATTGTAGAGCCTGATTCTTATTTCTGTGACAAAATTTAAGATGTTTAAAAATCCTCATAAGGAAATCTAAAATAAATGTTTTTCCCATGTTCAGCGATATTAATCCACAAGAAATCAAAATGAAATAAAAGTATTCATCTCAGAAAAAAATTAGCAAGCAACAATAACCTCACTTATAACAAAAATAAATCACCCTCCAGAACCCAATGCTCATTAAGCCCAGCAAGAGGTATTTTATCCTTATTTATTCATTCCTGAAAAAGCTAGAGCAAAAAATAATAATAATAATGAAATATGTGTCCTATTTATTTAAGTGTGTATAAGAAACAAAGATAAAAATGGGGGAAAATTTAGATCCTATGTTTTCCATATCAGCCTTGTAAGTTATATTATTCTAATGAACAGATTACTGAAACCATTAAATTCTAAAGTTCATATGGTTTTGTATGTAGAAAATGACAAGTTTCTACTAAACTTGCTAGAAGTGAATGCTTAACAGTGCATAACAAAAAGATTTTTCTAAAACTAGGTACTTCTGTTTTAGACAGGTAATCTTTTCATTGTGCAAATATAGGGTATTTGTGGCACAATAAATAAAATGCTTAATAAGTGGTGTTCCCTATGATTTATATGCCATTTAACTTCTTTTGCAGAAAATTAAGCCAGAATATTTTTTTAAATGTTTATTTTTGACAGAGAGAGCACATGTGTGGAGGAGGTGCAGAGAGACAAGGGGACAGAGATCTGAATCGGGCTCCATGCTAACAGCAGAGAGGCCAATGTGGGGCTCGAACTCATGAACCATGAGATCATGACCCGAACCGATCAGACACCCAACCAACTTGAGCCACCCAGGTGCCCCTCACCCAGAATATTTTTAATATTCCAATTTAGGAGGGCATTTTTTTTTTATTATTTTGGAAAGTGGGAGAGCATTTTAAACTCTAATTTGAGATATACAATTTCAATATAATCATTTACATTTATTAGCAGGGGGAAGAGGATGCCACTCTGGTTCAGGCCCAGTATCAAGAGACATCTCCATCTTGTTACTCTCTTACTGCCTGTCTAGAATGCCAGCTTTCCTACCTAGGCAACAGTTCTATCTCACAATCTCAAACTTCGGCAGTGATCAGTGTTGGAAGGAAATTGCAAAATACACAGTTCTGAGAGGACAGAGAGTTTCAAGTGTTAGGTGGCTGGCCAAAAGATTTGTAGGAGAGATGAAGGACATCAAGAACTGAAGAATTATGAAGGTAGGATGCCAAAAGAGCCAACATGGAGGGTGAAGTTGCAAAGAACAACAATAGGATGAGGAACTGATTCTAAAATGTAACTGAGAGAAGAAAAGGTATTTGAAAAAAACATACTGAATACAATAATTTTAATTTTAGAAAATTTTTCAAAGATTTGATAATAAAAATTCCAAAAAGTGAAGCTCAACAAATATGACTACCTTAGCAGCTAAGAATTTTCTTTTCTTTGAAAGAAATAAGAATGTTATATATTAAACATACCTCAGTTTAAAAAAAAAGAAAAATTAAACACTATTTTCTATCAGAAGCTCAGACACAACTAGAGAATTTTACACTAATCAAAAGCAGACACAGAGTTTTCAAAGGCTGATAAGGATAAAGAGGAATCCTAAGGTAACTAAATTTGTTTAGAAAAGATTATCTTTAAACTAAATATAGAAGGCAGTTTGGAGAGAGAGACTATGAGTTTTCAAGAAAATGTGGGTGTTGAAAAATAATGATAAAACAAAGATCTGGGATAGTCAGAGGTGTGTTACATGCCAATCTCAGTTTTATTTGTTTATTTTTTAATTTTTCTCACATTCATTTATTTATTTTGAAAGAGACAACATGAGAGTACAAGCAGGGAGGGGGTAAGGGGGCACAGAGAAACACAGAGAGAGAGAGAGAGAGAGAGGGAGAGAGAGAGGGAATCCTAAGCAGGCTCCAAGTTATCAGTGCGGAGCCCCACATGGGGCTCAATCTCACAAACCGTGATATCATGACCTGAGCTGAAATCAAGAGCCGGGTGCTTAACCAACTCCGCCACTCAGGCGCCCCCCCCACAACCTCAGTTTTAAAGGAGAAACAGGGGCACCTGAGTGGCTCAGTCATTTAAGCATCCAACTTGGGCATAGGTCATGATCTCATGGTTCCGGGAGTTCGAGCCCTGTGCTGAGCTCTGTGCTGACAGCTCAGAGCCTGGAGCCTGCTTCATAGTCTGCAGATTAGCAATAGCTTCTGTGTTACAGATGTGAATATAAATTCCGGGACTATTCAATCCTTCCCATAATTTCTACAGAATGTTAAGCAAATGAAGTTTTCTGTTTATTACCTAATTGCATGTATAATCTATGTCATCTAAAATGCATCACCAAAAAGCATTCAAATACCAGACCAATCAGGGTTTTTTATCTGAACCACAAAAACACAAAAAAATGTTTTGACTATTTTCTCAATTCTCCAAAACTGGTACATAACTAGTAGTTAGCTATGTGGCATACATTTTCTCAATAATGTTGAAGTGAGCCTGTAACCTGGAAAATAATTGACAGTATTTATTAACAATGAAAAAATTTGAGTTTTCAAGCAAATATCAAAATTTTTGAAAACCTTGGGTCCACTACCATGAGCTTCACAGCTTGCTAATATGTAAAGATTTTTCTGAGATCAGGGATGTTATTATCGTGATTTTTCTATTATATAATGAACCATGTCCACATTTAGAAAATATACCTTACTCAGTGAAGCAAAATCTCCCAAATGATCAATTCATGATGTTACAAAATCATGCACAGGTAAGGATCCATGCATGAGTAAAGACCCATTCAAAGTGCAGAACAGACCAATGAATTTTAATGCAATAGAGTGCAAAAGTTCATTTCTAAGATTTCAAATTTCACACTGCTATTAACCCTTGATTTATGAATTAAAACCATCAAGTTGTAGTGCAGTATCTCTCTTTTTTTTTTTTAAAGTGGCTCTGCACTGGCTGTGGGGCTTGAACTCCAAACCCCAGTGTGGAGCTCGAACTCATCCTCTTGTAGGGCTGGGATCAAGACCTGAGCTGAGATCAAGAGTCGGACGCTTAACCCACTGAGTCACCTAGGTACCCCTGCAGTGTAGTATTAAAGAAGAATATGCAGAATTATCTGAAAAAGCTATTAAAATACCCCTTTTTCCAACTACATATCTATGTGAAGCCAGATTTCTTTCATACAATTCAAGTATAATAACATATCACAATAGACTGACCGCAAAAATAGATATGAAAATCAACCTGTCTTCTATTAAGGCAGGCGTGTGGTTTTTCTTTTTTGTTTTTTTTTAGAACCTCAGTAATGTTTAAGAGTCTAAAGTGGTCCTAAGGACCACCATCTTAGGACAATAGGGCTTACTTAATTCGATCAAGGATCCCAGTAGAGAAAGGCTCTATGAGACTTAGCATAAAGACATTTACACACAATAACCAGATTGTAACTCCACATCCTGACTTTTTATTATGACACACTAAATACCACCTGTATGATATTTTGTGCACAATTAACTTCCTTTTCCTCACTTTTTCCTTTCAATCTCTCTGTTCTAAGATCATATATGCTCACTAAATAACATCTGTTTTATTTTGTACGTTCTCACTTTCCAGTATTATTTTTTAAAAAGACCCACCTGTTTCTTCTGAACTGGTCCAATTACATGGCCATGCACAACACCTCCTTGACTTCCCTCACCTTTCCACGGTAGGTATTGTGCCTTTTCAAAATCACTAATTCTAGATTTTCTAGGTAGTGTTTTTTCTAGTGTTAATTTCTAGATAGCTTTCTAGTAGAACACCTGCCAGGCTGGGCCCCATATCCAACAATGGCATATCTGAAATAAATTCTTTTTACAAACTAGCTTTTAATAAAATATCATTATTTGATCAGCACTCTCTCCCCTAAAATTATGTTAAAGCCATGGGGCGCCTGGGTGGCGCAGTCGGTTGAGCGTCCGACTTCAGCCAGGTAACAATCTCGCGGTCTGTGGGTTCGAGCCCCGCATCAGGCTCTGGGCTGATGGCTCAGAGCCTGGAGCCTGTTTCCGATTCTGTGCCTCCCTTTCTCTCTGCCCCTCCCCCGTTCATGCTCTGTCTCTCTCTGTCCCAAAAATAAATAAACGTTGAAAAAAAAAATTATGTTAAAGCCAAATAAAAATGATTCAGACACTATATTAGGATGGAGATTTAATATAGTAGTCATATTTTTTAAGTGGTACAAATACAAAAGACCATTCTAAAGAAATGTGTCATTTCCCAGCACAACTTATTGTGAGTGGGAGTTACTTTAGTTAATTAATTTCTCCTGGTATAACTAAAAGCAAAGAAGCAAAACACTTAATGCCTCTTTAACCTAGCATATCAAATACATGCCCACAGTATTTTTAAAAGCTTCACTTATTCAATAAATAATTGGAAATTTTCAATATTAGAGCACTTTTATAGACTCTAAATGAAAAATATCCTCAATTGCAAGTAAAATTTGAGTTTCTTCCAATCAGATGTATTTAACAATTAAGTGTGCCTCTCTACTTTTCAATTGTGAAAACCTCAATAAAGTGTTTTCAATTGCTTTCCATAGCTGTATGATCTTGGACAAGAGCTTAACCTCTATGATCCTCAATTTCTCATGAAAAAGATAAGGGGCTTAGGCTAGAAACTACAAGGCCCCTTCTAACTCTAAAATTGTATGAGTCAAATAAAAATGATCAGACTTCCAAAACGATGTTAATTAGGCTACTGAAAAGGAGAGAGAAGGGAGACTTAACATTTATATTTAAATCTAAAACTTTTTTTAACCAAGTTAGTTTGTCTAGGTATACATGGCTTTGCAGGGCGGAGGTCGAAGAAATTCATGTGAATTCAACATACCTCAGAGGTTACATGTAGATTGACCATGCTTTTCCCTTCCCACCAAAACGGGAAGAAAACACTAGCACAACAGAAGAGACTGATCGGATCTGAAAACTGAACTCCACTTGTAATTGAGGCCTAAGGCGTTAGCTTTACCTGGCAATTAATTCTCCTTATCCCCTTTGACTCCCAAGGCCGAACTACCGGTGACGAAGTCACCTGGGTTCAAAGTCTAGGGCACTTCAGATCCAGCAAGGTAAGAACCAAGAAGCCCAAGGGTCCAGAACCGGTGATAGGCTGGAGTAAGGAAGGCAGATCGCCCGGGAGGCGGGAGTGGGCGCTGGGCGAGAAGATGAACTACCTTTTTTTCACCCGACTTCTATCTTTCGCACCTTATCCAAGGGAGCTTGGTGAGGGGACCGGGCCCCCAGGCCCCGGAAAAACGAAGCAGAGCGGTTGGTGACAGGGCGAAGGGGTCAGGATTCAAGGCTGCCCCCCAGAGCCCGCTCGCCACAGCAGGCGCGTCCAACCTGTTCCCGAGTATCATGAAGGCAGAGCGGGCACCATCCCGGAGACCCCGGCCCGCCCGCCCGCCGGCCCACAGCCGCACAGCTGCCCCTCCCCCGCTTTCCGCTGAGAGCCCGCGGCCCCTCCAGGGAGCCGGGAGGAGGCGGCCCAGAAGTCAGTCCCTACCACCGTGCCCCCAGACAAGATCCGCGCCGGTTGCAACCTCCGCCCAGCAAAATCGGTCCTTTCCGACGAGCTGGAGCAGCCGTGGCACTCGATCAGGGCCGGCGCCGCCCCGCCCCCGGCCTCCGCGCAGAACACGACTGGGCCAACATGGCTGGTGCCGCCTCTGCCACGTCAAGGGCTGGCGGGGCGGGGCGGCCGCGCCGGGGAACTTAAGGGGAGAGTGCGGGACCCGGCAGAACCGAGCGGGTATAGGGCGCGAGGGGAGAGGAGGGAGGTGGAAGGGGCGGGGACGGAGCCGGGGCGGGGCTACCAGGGGAGGGAACTAATGGTGAGAGTGCGGGACCCGGGCGGAGCCGAGTGAAGGGTGGGGAAGGAGAAGAAACTGGAGGGAAGGGAGGCTACGGAGCCTGAGGGGCGGGGACAACCGAGACAAACCAGACTGGGAAACGCCAGAGGGCTAGGGACCCCAGCGGAACTGGAGCGCCTTAATCCTTTCCCAGGAACCGCGGCCGACCCCACTCCCTGAGGGCCGCAGGCCAGAGTGGCACCTTCTGCGGCCACTCAGACAACGTCCAGTAGGAGGACATCCTCACCTGTAGGGCCCTGGTTGATTCCTAGGACTACAAAACCGCATCTCCCCAAAAAAATACAAAGTGAGAAGTTCGTCTGTTCACTTAGTGCAACAAATATTTACTGAACATCTACAATGTGCCAGGTACAGTAGCAATGCTAGTGATATTGATGTAGGCAAAACAGGCCAAAATCCGTGGCCTGTACATTGGATTTTTGTATTCCTAGACAGTCTACCTCTTGCCTCCTACACTACATCGGCCACCTCTCCACCTCTCCTCCCCACTATTGCAATCTCTGGCTGATTCATCTTAATGGCTTTCTGCTTCTCTTTTCCAAAGGAAGGGCTGAGCAAAATGGGAGAGACAGAAACGGGCTGGAAAGACATTACAGCTTGGCGATCTCAAGCACCCCATCCCTAAGTGAGGTTGCTCATGGAATTAATTCCAGACATGACTACACCTAAAACCTTGCCAGGCTTCGCCCTCGAAGCATTTTAAGGAGTTGGAAAAAAGATCAAATCCTTGTTCTTCATTATAGTTGAGAAATAAGATGTGTACCAAACATGTATTTTCTGCCTATAAAGTGTATGCTAAGGTTGTTTTGTAAGGTAGAAGAGGATGACTTTGTCTGTGAAATTTGAATAAAAGTCTGAGGAGGAAATGGGAATCAAACAAAATTTAGGCGTGCCTGGGTGGCTCAGTCTGTTGAGCGTCCGAGTTTGGCTCAGGTCATGCTCTCCTGGTCTGTGAGTTGGAGCCCTGCATAGGGCTCTGTGCTGACCGCTCAGAGCCTGGAGCCCGCTTTGGATTCTGTGTCTCCCTCTGTCTCTGCCCCTCCCCCACTCGTGCTCTGTCTCTCTCTCTCTCTCTCTCTCTCTCTCTGTCAAAAATAAACACTAAAAATTAAAAAAACACTAAAAAATTTTTTAAAAACCCACAAAATTTAGCATAGGCCTGCAAATAAGGTGAGCTCAGGATGCTACCTCAAAGAGGATTCTTGACTGAAAGCACAGGAAGTAAACAGCTGTGGACTATGGTATAAAAGTGGAATAAGGACATTCACAAAAAGAAACACGATCCAAGAACCAATAGACATAGAAGAGAGGATACATGGGGGATCTTGGAATTCAGTGAGAAATAAACCAAAATATAGTACCTTCGGTAATTTCATTCATTTAATTGTCCCCAGAAATGTGTCTTGCCACCATGTAGCTCAATGAAGACTAAAAAGTCATAACTCCCTTGTTCTTAGCTGAACAAAAGCCTCTGTTCCCTGTTACAATGAAACAGATAGGATGGGTAATGAATTCATTTAGATCTGTCTTTATGTTCTCTAAGATGAGCTGGTTTGCATTTAACCATCAGATACAGCATCAAGATCTACTGGACCCAACTTTAGTTTTCTGGAATTTTCTTTTTTTTGGAGTTCTATATGTAAGAATCCATACTTAATGACTTTTTAATCTTTCTTAGAGATCTTCCAAAGAACACAGAAAATAATTTTTTTAATTTATTTATTTGAGAGGGGAGTGAAGGGGGAGAGGCAGAGAGAGAGGGAGATGGAGTATCAATCCCAAGTAGGCTCCATGCTGTCAGCACAGAGCCCAACATGGGGCTCAAACCCACGAACCATGGAACCATGAGATCATTACCTGAGCCGAAAGCAAGAGTCAGACGCTTTTTTTAAAAAAAAATAGAATAAAACTTGCAATTGCTTTATGAGTCCATTGGACTCTTGTAAATCTAGGATACATTATGGGATCTTAGTGATCTTATTTTTCCTATATCTTGAAACATTCTGCTAATTCATCATGAAATGATTTACTCATCAATTATTCCAACTCTTCTTTTAAAAAGACTAAAATAATAAGAAAACCAGAAAAATGATAGAATTACCCAAGACGATACAATAGTGGAGTAAGCTATCATTCTTGCATTTTCTCTTTGCAATGCCTAAAGTACTGCAGCATTTTTCAAGACCTTTGTACATGTTTTTAGTTTTCAATAAATATAGTTGAGAATTCAGAATTTGGAAGATGAATGCCAAGAGACAGAGAACAGCAATCTAGATCCTGATAATGACTGTGAAATCTTAGACTGTTAATTTTTGGATTACCATCTCCTAGATGAATTTCTCAAACTCAAGGATCATCGTGTTAACATTATTTCTAAGGTCAAAAAATGTTATTTTCATCCAGTTATTCATTCAAAAGGATAACTTGATTACACAATATTTTGCAACAAAAATCTGGACCATCTCATTTTGCTAAGAACACATATTACAGTATTTCTTTCATCTTTTATGATGTTTATGTGGATAAATTTACTTAATATGATTCTTAAGTAGACAAATGCTAATGGCAGCTATGTATATACAAGATGATATCTAAGGAAATAGATAACCCAGAAATTAAAAATTCTTTTTTTTTTTAATTTTTTTTCCACGTTTTTATTTATTTTTGGGACAGAGAGACACAGCATGAACGGGAGGGGCAGAGAGAGAGGGAGACACAGAATCGGAAACAGGCTCCAGGCTCTGAGCCATCAGCCCAGAGCCCGACGCGGGGCTCGAACTCATGGACCGCGAGATCGTGACCTGGCTGAAGTCGGACGCTTAACCGACTGCGCCACCCAGGCGCCCCTAAAAATTCTTTAGGTTGATTACTTATAAAGCTAAAAATACAAAAGTCTTACAATTAGGGAGCAAAGATGGCTGTCCTTTCTTCAACAAAATTATGAGCCTTTAGAGGTCTCAAAAAATTCTTCAAGTCCTGTGTTTTGATGATACAAATGCATGAAGAACCAGAAGTAACAATTAGCTAGGATGTAGTAGTGATGCATCTGAAATCTGCAATCACTGTTTACAAAATAGGTATGTTCCAGATTCATGAATCACAGGCAATAAGCTGGTAGTTGCATTCAGAGGACATTGCCCATTTTGGATATGTCTTCAAAACCAGGAAAATATGAAGTGGGTGATGGGCATTGAGGAGGGCACTTGTTGGGATGAGCACTGGATGTTGTATGGAAACCAGTTTGACAATAAATTAAAAAATAAAAATTTAAAAAACTTAAAAAAAGGAAAATATGGAATGAAAATTGGTATTTGCTATGCTTAGATACTTATTTAAATTTTCAGTAAAGTTGTTTTCCATTATCCCTTTACTCTTTTTATAACAGCTTTACTGAATATCCCTTTACTCTAATTTGTATAAATTCATGGAATGATATAAAGATATAAAAATTAAAAAGAGTCAATTAGACCCAGCTTGTAAATGGTGAAGACTATTTTTCTTGGTATACTGAAAGTTAAGAGGTTTTGGGTTGAGGAAGAAGAGAGAGAAAAAGAGAGAGAGAGGAAAATGTCTTGAGCTCCCAGAAAGGAGAGTCAGACTAGGAATTGGAGAAAGGGGACTCTCCTAAAACAACCTTCTCTGGCTTTCTGACTAAACTATAGACATTCCTGGACCAAGGCATTTGAGATTAATCTGTGAATCTGAAGGATATTTGTTAAACATTTACCAACATGCAACTGATTGCAATTGTTTGCTCCCATTACAGCACTTTGTCAGATCCTGACACAAAATGATTGTTCCTTAAATATTCATGAATAAGCATGGTAACCTAAACAATTATAAATTATTATCATCACTTTAATGTTTTGAGATTGACTATGAAAATATAAAACCTGACATAAGCCCCCCAAAGAATTTCTTTTTATTTTCATTATTTAAAAACATTTTTTTTTTAATTCCAGTAGTAGTTAACATACAGTGTCATATTAGTTTCAGGTGCACAATATAATGATACAACAATTCTATACATCAGTCAGTGTTCATCACAGTAAGTGTACTCAATCCTCATCACCTATATTACCCATCCCCCCACCTACCACCCCTCTGTTAACCATAAATTTATTCTGTATAGTTAAGAGTCTGTCTTTTGGTTTCTTTTCTTCTTTGTTCATTTGTTTTGTTTCTCAAAATCATATGAATGAAATATGAGTGAAATCATATAAATGAAATATGAATGAAATGAGTGAAATCATATGGTATTTGTCTTTCTCTGGCTTATTTCACTTACCATTA